TGGGCCGCGCCGCGATGCCGGAGAAGAGGCCCTTCGAGCGGCTGCCTGCCGATGTCTCCCCCATCAACTACAGCCTTTGCCTCAAGCCCGACTTGCTGGACTTCACCTTCGAGGGCAAGCTGGAGGCCGCCGCCCAGGTACGGCGACCCTCGGGCGCCGGGGGCGAGCTGCGGGGCAAGCAGTTAGGCCGCGGGCTGGGCTGGGGGCCCGGCCGGGAGGGCGGGCAGGCCGGCGGGCCTGGGCGCAGCGGGCCTGGGGCTGGCGAGGCCGGCTCGGGGAGCGGCGCGCCCCGGCCGATGAGCTCTGCCCTGCTGGGCTGGGGCCCCGGGCCGCGCTGCGGGGAGCGCCGAGGGAGCTGGCGGGCCCTGCCCGAGCGCCCGCACCCCCCCCTCCCCACCCCTGCCCCGGGCGAGCACACCTGTGCCGGGCTTCCCCCCGACCCCAGGCCCTTCCGGGCTCGGTAGTGTTCTGGGCGAGGCTGGAGGCTGTTGGGGGAGGCCAGAGGGGTCATGGGAGTCCACGCTCCGTCTCACCCTCCTGACTCAGTTCTTTTCTCTGGTTCTCCCTACGCCCCACGGAGGACACATTGGAAGGGGCGGTCATCTGAGACTCCGACCGCCGCGCGTTAGCGTGGACGGGAGATTCTAGAAGGGGGGGAGAGGGTGAGAAGGAGAATGCTAATCCCGGGCAGCCTTGCTGAGTTCTCCCCGCCTGCTCCGGCCCAGGGGCTGGGTTTCCAAGATGATCCGCCCCCTCCCCCTTCCCCTCAAGTGACAGTGCAGCAGTGACTTTGTTCTCTCCTAACCTCTAGAGAAGCTGAAGGAGGACCCCATCTCCGCTTTTCCTCCCGTCTTCCTAGCTTTGCAGGCTGTGAAGCAGGTGGATTTATTGTTACCGCGATGGTTGCTTAGCAGTAACAGTCCTCTGAAAGAAGCTGTTAGTTTTAGCATACCACTGTTGAAAATATTCCATTACTCTTCATTGCAGTTTTTGGTGAATCATGCCCCCCGCCCCCCACATTATCTTAAGTATTGTTTGATCTTGGAGACTTTTAGTACTGATGCCCTCCAAAGGTCCCGGACAATAGACATTTGCGATATACCATGTTTTATGATGTGTTATGTGAAGTCTGCGGTGAGAAATGGGAACCGTTTAGCAGTTATCTTTAAAAAGAATGATGGTAAATACATTGTTTCAGTTCTTTCTCTACTGCAGTCAGAGAGGGAAAACCAGTAGGCCTCAAGCTTAAAGAACAGGGTGTATATCGCAGCGAAATGAAAGGAATGTGTGGTGCTGGAATGAATTGAAAGTTTGAAGTTGTCTTTGAAAGCTGAGTACTGAGATTGAAAATACGTCTAAAAGTGTAGAATTAAAAAGTATACTGTCACGTATGAAGTGCTTGTGGGAAAGCACGAGGGCTCTAGGGTCTGGCTGTTTCAAAAGGAGAAACTTAACCCGTTTGAAAGTCAGGTGACTTAAAAAAATTTCCACTAAGAATATGAATCAGAATGAGTGTATCTTCGGTCTAAATTAGGATTTGAGAGGGTTATTTGGGAGACTGTTTGTTTAAGCCAAGTGACTAGAGTGTTTGATATATATTGGCAGGGGGCAGATGGGAGGGATTGTAAACAGTAGTGTGTCTTGTGACTTGGCAAACCTGGGGGAAGAAGGACCTATGATGAATGAGTTCGCATTATGTGAAAAGACTGAGTTAGATTTAAAAAATCATTTGTTTCCTTACCTCGTTAGTTGGCAACATGGGTTCCGAGTTTTGAGAGGTATGCATGTTTAAGGGAATTTTTCAGAAAAAGACTATCTAAATAAAGATTTTTCAGTGATTGTTAGGAAGTGAAGTGACAGTTCTGTTTGAGTGTTGGGACAGAACAAGATGCAGTGACATGCTTCTCCTTAACGCCTTTCTACTTGCTTTTCCAAAGTGGTGAAAACTATGTGGAAGACTGCTTTGGGCCATTGAGGGAGCACATGGTAACGTAGTAGATATTAATGGGGAATTGTTAATTTGATACAAGGAAGTAAATGGATCTTTGTTTGTAACAGGAGCTTTTCAAAGCAATTCTTTCCAGAAATTCTTTGCAGGCTAGGTGGTAACACGAATGAAAGATGGTATGATAGTGACTTGTAACAGGTTTGATTAAAGAATGATTGGACTTTTTAATTGCACACATTGCCACCTTTGGAAGAGGAAAGGAGTTAATGTTGGTAAAAAGTTAGCATTAGTAGTAAAAAGCACATAGTCATGTTTTTGAGATACATGGTTTAGAGCAACAATTGTGGCGTTAGATGGTATCTTATTGTGGAGATCTAAAAATGTGGACAAGATTATTATATCTCTAGAAATCTAGATTTATAACTGGTATTGGGTCAGTTTCCTAACAGTTGGGATCATATTACACAAAGTATGCAAGTTGCTTGGTTGCTTTAGTTGCAAAATTTTATGATAAGCTCAGAGTATTTGTACAGGTTACATATTAGAAGCTTAGTGGATTTTTAACCTGGTCTGGGGTGTGGGCTCCTGGGGAAGATGAAGAAATTAGTCAACGTGCACCAATTTTAAAAGCAGTTGTCTTTTACATAAGTGAGTGTGGTCTAGGTCAGCAGGTTTTTTTTGCAAATGTGTTATCAAGGGCCTAGAGAAATGGGACATTTCTACTACCACTGCCCCCATCCCCCTTTACATTAGGATACTTGAGAGCTTTTGTAGCTATTTCAAATTCTGATTTCTCTTGCTTTGTGGATAATTAATAAAAAATAGATAAGATGTTTATGTGAGTGGCTGCACTTTCTTGTTACTAGTGTATTGTGGTTTATACAGTAATTGGGCTTTCTCTTATGGAAATAGTTAACCTGTGCCAAAGAAATTAACTTCATCCTTCAAGGCCAGAAGTCAGGATATAGTAGACAATCTTTGGTCTTTGCCAACAAAATACTCATGTTGGTGATGACTAAATTGGCACTTAGCGGAGAGTTACAGATATAGTAGTTTGTTTGGCAGGCTAAAACCTGGCACCTAAATGGATGTTATTGTCAACCCTGTGTTATGGAATTTTATGCCCAAATTTTGCATATTTTCTTTAAAATTTTTAATGTTTATTTATTTTTGAGAGAGAGAGAGAGAGAGAGAGAGAGAGAGAGAGAGGCAGAATGTGAGCAGGGGAGAGGCAAAGGGAGAGGGAGACACAGAATCCCAAGCAGGCTCCAGGCTCTGAGCTGTCAGCACAGAGCCCTATGCAGGGCTTGAACTCACCAATCAAGAGATCATGACCTGAGCCCAAGTTGGATGCTTAACCGACTGAGCCACCCAGGCGCTCCTGCATATTTTCTATGCAGTCATTTTGGTTGTGTTTTATTACTTAAAAAAGTGATAAAATTAATAATTTGTGCAGCATTGTGTGGAATCACTAAATGGTCTTAAGAAATTAAATTGCAAAGATTGGTAATAAGGAACTGAAGTTCAGATTTTCTTTTATTTCTTGAATTATATGTGTGAAGAAACACCTAAATATAAGCAGCTTTTATATGTTAAGCTTTATCTACTATCATCTGGCAATGAATTTTGCAGTGAATTTTCTGGATAAATGAAGTTTACCCTTTGAGGCACTTTACACTTAAAAAAAATATTTACTGATTTGGATGGAAATATGCCAAAAATGTATTTTTTTAAAACTCTAGTTCCTTATAATCTAGGTTTGTTGCTTTCCTCTTTTTTTAAATACTGGACATTGTTCTGAACATCTGTCACTGATACTTGTAACCACAGATTTACCCAATTATTACTATAATTTACTACTTTCATATCTATAAAGTCTTTTTGTTTGTTTTTCTTACTGTTAGGTTATTACTTCTTGCTGCTTCTGGTGCCTGGTTGTTGCCGATTGTGCAATTTCTTCCCTCTTCTATTTTATTGAACTTGATCTGAAGAGGTCTAACTAACCAGATAAACAGGCTTTTGTGAGCTTAAAAAGAAATTTCTAAGTGAGAGTTTGATGGACTCTTCTGAGTGAAGGGTATGAGCTTTATTGTATGGACTTTGTATCATCTATTCTGGCTTCTATACAGGCTTTTTTTTTTTTTTTTTTTTAAACTTCCTGGTTCTGGATAATTGGTGTTGTCCAGTGCAACCTGGCCACATGTGATCTTGAGCAGTAAATTATCTATGCAACTTCTCCGAACTTTGCTACATAAATGAGCCTATTCTTATTGGAAGGTAAATCCTACTCTAATCTGTATGTGAGTCAGTAGCAAAGAACTGAGTCTTCCTAGATAGCTGTTTTGTTGCTAACTGGGATTCCTTCTCCAGATCTTGGAGATTCAGTTTTGAACATCATTTAAGTTTGTAGTTCTCAGTTTATTTGGCCACTTGTAATCACTTTAAAATTTTACTTTAAATTAGGAAATATTTTATAAATACAGAAGAGTAACTCACCACTCAGATTGAGCAGATATTAATGCTCCCCCCCCCCCCCCCCCCCCCCCCCCCCGCATTTGCTTCAGACTGTGCACAATGTTTTTTAGGAAATAAAAGGTCACAGATACCACTGAAGTCCATTTCCATCTCTTCCCATCCCTACTCTCAGGGGTAACTTCTCTCTTTAGGTAGGTATTATTCCTATGTGCATATAAGTAGCCACCAACTGTTATTTAAACTTTTATTGCATATGTAAGTAGCCACCAACAACACACAGCAGTGTTCTGTACATTAAAAATTTTTACATTAGTGGTAATGGAAAACATTACTACATTTGACTTTCTGCAACTTGTTCTTTTCTTGTCAATGTCTCTCATTAAAAAACTTGGCTCAATTTGTGTTTGCTAATTATTTGCTCCTTATTGTCTTTAGAAATTATAGCCCTGTTCTGCAGAAGCAATGATTATTACAGAATTTTAACTATGAAACTGCTTGTGAGGCAAAGTGGCTCAGGCTTCAGACTGATTGGTATTTGAAGTTATTACACTGGAGATTTCCTTTTACTAAAATCTGAGGACTTTGGCAATCAGAAAAAAACCCTCTTGAGTCTTATAGTACCTGGAAGATGTATTTCTGGGTGATTGTAATAAAGACTTATTCAGGAAAAAAAATTATCTCATGTTGCTGCCTTCTTAGCTCATAGGAAACTTCCACTGTAAAAGTGTTACCAGTGGTCAAGCTGTCTTTTCAGTAGAGCTATTAGTGTTTGGTCCGTTGAAATACAGTCTATATCAAACTTCAAGAAGACTTAACCCTAGGTTTGAAACAAAGAAAGGATATATTATTGTTCCATTCTTTAGTAGAATCAAATGGAGAAGTTGAAAATGAGTTTGTTATCCACACAATATATATGCCAACTTCAGTCTTTTGCTTCTATTTTTAAGCTTGTAAATTGTGAAGGTCTTAATGCTGAAATTCCTTTGAATTATTACCCATATTTTTAATAGTGGAACACACAGGTAACATTCACTAACATGGTAATGTTAATATGTGAGAAATCACATACTGAATCATCAAGTCAGTGTTACTGTTGGGAAAGCATCAAAAAGAGTAGTGTTATAGTGTGGTAGTCAAGCACTTAAGTCCACGGAGATATTTTAAACCTTGGGCAGTATATGTATGCTGATACCCATGGTGCTATATAATAGCACATAGTTTTTAAGTTTTATATCATTCTCCTAGGCACTTTATAAACTGTTAGGTGAATGCTGTTAGATGATATTCAGAGTTAACATTTTTATAATTAGAGTGCATTTAATCTTGGTCTCTGTGTCTTTTTTTTTTTTTTTTTAAGTAAACTCTGTGCCCAACGTGGGGCTTGAACTCACAACCCTGTGATCAAGAGTTCCATGTTCTACCAGCTGAGCCAGCTGTGTGCTCCTCTGTGTGTGTGTCTTAATAATAACATCTATTAAGTAATTACTGTGCATCAGGCACTAAGGGCTAAAACAAGCACTTTCCATCCTGTTTAAAATGCATTGTCTGATATGAAGCAGAATATACTGTCTGGTTTTTAAAATTTGAGTAGCTTTCTATTATTAAAATAAGTGTTTTTGTCCCTTTGGTTCTTCCCTGCCACCCTGCAAAAAAAATTAGTAGTTATTCAACAAGCAGCTTATAAACAGGTGGGTTTTCCTTCAACACAGGAGAAATTAGAATGTACTGGTAACTGGATGTTGTACACTGTGCCTTTCCAAAGTACGCAAGCAGTTTCCCTCAGAATGTTACAGTAGTAGTGAGATAAAATGTCATTTGGCATATGTAGTGTTGTACAGGTATCTTGACATTGGCAGATTAACTGCTTGGCTACCATGAAATTCACCAAAGCTGTTGATGGATGAAAATACGGTTGCCTAGATAAAGATTAAGATGCGTAACTAAACTACTGTTGTCATTCTGTTGGCATAAACTTCAAACTCTGGGAGACTTTTATTCATTCAACTTTTTGGAGACACCTTCCTGACCCTCACCGCAGCCTCATTAAGTGCTTCATGTCTCTGTTTCTGAATTTTTTTAAAGTCCCTTTATAAATAGGCAAAGTTTTGTTTGTTTGTTTGTTTTTGTTCAGATGTGTTATTAAATGGCCAGTTGGGACACAAAAGTTTTACTGCTGTTTAGGAATGTTCCTGGTGTGGGATTCCAGGGTGGCTCAGGCGGTTAAGAGTCCGAGTCTTGGTTTCGGCTCAGGTCATGATCTCACTGTTCCTGGGATCAAGCCCTGCATCCAGCTCCAAGTGGAAAGCAAGGAGCCTGTTTGGGATTCTCTATCTTCCTCTCTCTCTGCTCCCCCCCCCCCCCACCTTGAGAGAGACAGAGAGCATGCTCGTTCTCTCCGTCAAAATGAGTAAGTAGGGGCACTTGGGTGGCTCAGTTGGTTAAACGGTCTGACTTTGGCTCTGGTCATGATCTCATGGCTTGTGAGTTTGAGCCTCACACAGGGCTCCGTTTTAACAGCTCAGAGCCTGGAGCCTGCTTCGGATTCTCTCTCTGCCCATCCTCCCCCCCCCCCTCAAAAATAAATAAGTATTAAAAAAGGGAACGATATGATCTTGGTGAAGTAAATGATATGAAGGAATATTACCACTCGCAAAATTTATTATGTATGTGTGTATTTATTTTAAGATTTTATTTTTAAGTAGTCTCTACACCCAATGTGGGGCTGGAACTCACGACCCCAGGATCAAGAGTCGCATACTCTGCTGACTGAACCAGCCAGCTGCCTCTACCACTTGAAAATTTTTTTTAAAGTTCATTAAATGATATTTTTGTTTAGAAACGGACTTATGGAAAGGATTTTTTTTTTAAATGTTTATTTTATTTTTGAGACTGAGAGAGACAGAGCATGAGTGGGGGAGGGGCAGAGAGAGAGGGAGACACAGAATCGGAAGCAGGCTCCAGGCTCTGAGCCATCAGCCCAGAGCCTGACGTGGGGCTCGAACTCACGGACTGTGAGATCGTGACCTGAGCTGAAGTCGGAGGCTTAACCGACTGAGCCACCCAGGCGCCCCTGGAAAGGATTTTTTAAAAACTAAGCTCTATACCCATCGTGGGGCTTGAACTCAGGACCCCAAGAATAAGAGTCTCATATTTTACCAACTGAGCAAGTCAAGCCCCTGGAAAGGATTGTTTTTAATGAGCCAAAATAGTTTCATGTTATATGTTAGAGATTTTGACAGTGTGTTACAGGCTTAATAACATACTCTCTAATTTAGGTTAGATAATTTTAGCTTGAGATTAATCATGTTTATTAGTTATTAATAAAATGATTATGGTATAGCTTTTCCCTACAGATATTACACTACTCTCTTGTCCTTACCTAGTTCTGTGGTCTGTTGGTGATCTCAAGGTGCTATTGACCTACACGTGGATTTTGTTTGGACTGTGCAGTGTTTTTGCAAATTTTGCATTCATTGCCATTAGTTAAAATTTGGGAGATTGCACATGAAATCTGAAATTTGTGGCTTTTTTTTTTTTTTTAAGTAATCTCTGTCTCTAATGTGGGGTTTGAACTCAGATCCTGAGATCTAGAGTTTTCATGCTCTACTGACTGAGCCAGCCAGGCACCCCTGTGGCTTTTCTTTTTTTTTTTTTTTTTTTTTTTTTTTTAATTGGAAGATCTGTCACTACTAAGTCTGCTTTTCAGTATAGCAATAATTGGTTGGCTCCAAGAATTGGTTACTTCCACCTTACTTTTACACAGAGCCTTCACTTGGCCTACTGTACTCACCTGCTTGGCTGGCCTCTGTAGACATTTGTTGATGATTTAGGGCATCTGTATATTTATTGCTTTAAATTTAGACTTTTCAAATGTCTGAAAATGAATTTGAGTTTCTGTTTAATGCAACAAGTATGTAAAACCATGGTTACAACCAAATTGAAAAATGGGCAAAGGTTATGAATGGACAATTTGCAGAGGAAAAACAATGGCAAAAAAAAAAAAAAAAGGAAGAAAGAAACTTTTAGGAAAGATGCTTATTAGTGTTACTAGTAATAAGGGAAATTCTAATTAATGCAACAGTGAAATACCATTTAAGACTCATCAGATTGTCAAAAATTTTTAAGTTTTCAGAGGATAATGAAAGTGAAATTTCTTTATTCTTTGCTCATTGGAGTATTAATTGAAAATACTCTAGAGGATAATTGGGTAATTCTTGGTAAAGAAAAAGGTGGATAAGAAAACATGGACCAAGATGTGTATTGTGGCACTATTTTAAATAACAACAACAACAAAAAAATGGAACTAAACTAACTTCCTTCAGGACAGAAATGGATAACTGTGGTTTACTTACAGAATGGAATACCACTAGGCAGAAGTTAAAACTAATGAGTTAGATCTACATCTGCCTGCATTTACCCATCTCAGAAACAATGTTAAATGAAAAAAGCGGGTTGCAAAGGTTATATACACTTTGATACTATTTGTATAAAGTTAAAAACATTGCTTGCTGATATTTATATATGTAGCAGAAGTACTATACATACATGAGAAAAAGCTACATTAGCCTTTGGAGAGTGGCTGCAGGGAATGAGGAAGAGAGGATGGGGCTTTCGTTATGTCTGTATTTTATTTTGGGGATCTGAAGCACATAAGACAAAATCTTAAAAAGTTTATTTGGTCTTGATGGTGAGTCATTAGTGTCTGTTACATCCAAAATGTTTCTTTGGTAAGAAAAAAATTTAAAGAGTTTTATGAAGTTTTGACATGGTTTATGATATCACTTTTCTTCCTCTATCCTTACAGAAGGTCTTATGATGGGCTTGATGTATAGGTTATAATACATAATTAATTGCAACCTATGAGAAATGTTTCCTGATTTTTTTTTAATTTGAAAAATTGTAATTGTTTTAAATAAAGGTTCAAGTAGAAAAAAATTGCTTTTATTTCGCTCATTGGTCAGATGTTTAAATTCTGTGAAATACTTGTGTTTATTATTGCTTTTAATATAATTTGGAAAGTGTAAATTGCCTTGGGTTACTTAAAACAACTCATTTATTTTTACCATGGTGATGTATAAATACTCAGTCTAGGTTTTAGTGATGTCTGGGTTTTAAAAAATTGCCTGTGACATACATTAGGCTAAGGTGAAGATGTACATGTTACTAATCTAGGCTATTTCTGACACTGCTGGTTTTTCTTTTCCCTTTAGGTGAGGCAGGCAACCAATCAGATTGTGATGAATTGTGCTGATATTGACATTATTACAGCTTCATATGCACCAGAGGGAGATGAAGGTAAGAGCTGTTTTCCATTTGATTTGCTGTCTCTCTGTGTGTATGATGTGTGTATGGTGATATATACATTTTCAGATTAAGGTATCAGTGTTTGTTACTTTAGAAATAGGAAACATTTTTAGATGTTCATGGGAAATATTTTAATAAGCTATATTATGAGATTAAGGAAATGCCACAATTTTAATTCTACTTCAAACATTAACTTATTTTTTGACTCTAGGCAGATTACATTTTTATAAATGTAAAATACATATAATATAGTAACATGCATATAAAGCCAAAGAGTTATTTTAAAAATAAGTACTTTGAACATGAAAGATTGGTTCATCCAGGCGGCTTAGTTCATATGTGGTTTTCTTAAAAGTTTTTTTTTTCCTTCTTGAGCAATAGATTACAACAGGGATAATAAATCTTACTCGTAATGGAGAGAAAAATATTGGCCTTATGAGATTGAATGTGGAGGTTAGACGCTAGATGACCAAGTTAGTTACAGGGTAAGAATATGTTAAAAAGAAACATTATATAGAACACATGGGAATTCAGTTAGCATCTTTAAAATGAGAACTATTTTAGACCTTGTAATTACAATAAGGATTAAATTGAGTAGTCAGTTTTGGCCTGAAATCCTATTCCCACATAAGCTACATTTTTAAAAAGTTGTCAAGTTTGGCAGAAACTCACAAGTATATTGATACTGGAACTGAAGTGCTTTTTACTTTTTTTTTTTTTAAGTTTATTTATTTATTTTGAGAGAGAGAGAGAGAGAGTGGGAGGGAGAGAGAGAATCCCAAGCAGGCTCCAGTCTGTCAGCACAGAGTCCAACACAGTGCTTGAACTCACGAACTGCGAGAGCATGACCTGAGCTGAAACCAAGAGTTGGATGCTTAACCGACTAAGCCACTCAGAAGCCCCATAAAATCTTTTCATTTGATATCCGGGCGCTGGCTGGCTGGCTCAGTTGGTGGAGCATGTGACTCTTGGTCTCAGGGTTGTGAGTTCAAGCCCCATGTTGTGTGTAGAGCTTACTTTAAAAAGAAAAGAAAAAATCTTTTCATTTGATATCAAATAAGTTAGGAATTTGACCCTTTAATTTCCATTTAGTATTGCTCTTTCCCCTCTCCTTTACTCTGAAAAGAAGCATACAAGTAACATTTTATGACCAGGCAGTATTTATTTCGTGAGTTTTTCTTAGATTGTTTTGTCCATAGAAAGACCAAAAAAAAAAAAAGTATCAGTTGAGCAGATTATTGCCAAGAAGCACTGATGTTCGATTGTACATGAGATCAAACTGCAGTGATTTTAAGTTAGAGGAACAGATCCTTCCAATGGACTTTGAGTGAGTGCCAACATTAAAGCAATTGTTTGGTAAATGAAAGAGAGATGATTTAATTTCTTTACCTGTGAAGAAAAATATAAGCACCTTAGCCACGCATATCAATGCAAACATGCTTTGTTACAGGTAGAGAACATTTAAATTTAATACAGAGTTTTTAAATGGTGCCCAGTAAAATACATGTGCACCCTCCAGCTGGCATGGTTTCAGCTCAGGTTTGTTTTTATCTTCCTCTACTAAACCGCCAGGAAAGAATTCAGAGAACTTAAATGCTTTGAATATGCATAACTGAATGGTGCCAAGCTCATACCAGCCTGAATATCAAGGAAGCAGTGTTTGTGTTCTCACTAAGAGGGTCAGAAGAGAAATGAAAGCTTATAGGAAGTAAGGGGATTTGGAGAGAGATTCAGATAAAATATTAATTTTTTTTAGGTACTTAAAATATTTTTTTCAAAACTAGCTAAGGTATATTTTTCAACTCATTTCACCTACAGCAATGGGAAAAACCTAGGGTCATGTGTAAGCACCTCTAATTTAAGGGATAAGAAAAGGGGAAATTATATTAATGTGGTATTTTAAGGTTTCAGTCAGAAACATAGATTTGGCCTTCTAGATACATACCCAGCTTAATTTTCCCCTTGGACAGAGTAGCATTTCTTGATTTTTACCTTATGGGCGAGTACAACACATTGTTTCTTTAGAAATTAGTAGTTGGAAATTTGACTGCCAGCTCCTTCTAGGACTGTATGAGTTGGCAGGGGAATATTTGAGTCAATAGGACTCATTTTTTAAACCCAACTAATCTCATCTAGTCCGGTACTTGTTAATACTTACAGATTGCCTTCTGCAAAACTGATTTACATATCTGTAGCCACTAAATCTTGGTGCTTTAAGGTAAAATCAGAAAATCGTTTGAAAGCACAAAATTGTTGCTTCTCTGTGTAAGTTTTTAATTGATGAGAAAAGGCCATCTTATGATATGTGCAGTAACCCAGAAAGACCTATTGGCATGTGTCTCCTTAAACTAAGGCACTGCCTTTTAAACAGAAATAATTTATTTTAAAACCTAATTGAGATCTTTGTAGTATTTAAAAAATGAGAAATCAGTAAGAAAAACGGCTGAAAACTGTTTTTTTACTGTTCTGCACTTCAAGGGTTGGTGAAATCACTAGCACTTAAGCCCCAGTACAAGGAGTGCACCTCCCTACACAGGGCAGGGATTAGTATTGTCATCAGCTTCTGCAAGAGAAATACGAAACTTTTGAGTGCCTGAACTCAGGTCCTGACAGGTAAAGAGTTTTTTAATTTATCGTTAATAGATGGCTTGGGCATAAGCACATGGAGAATGATCACTTGAAAGTTTTGTACCAACTTTTCCCTTAGTGTATACTCTGTCAGGTATGTTTGTGGCATTAGCTGTATAAGGAAACAATTTTCCATTGGCGACATAATATTTCATAGAAGGTTCTAATACATACTTTCAGGTCCACTAGTATCACTTTGGTTTATTTGTAAGGCATGTAAATTTTAACACATTTATTCTTGAAGTAGAATTCTATTTTTCAGTGTGTGCATAAGAGCACATGTATGGGTTTAATGAAAGGAAACAGCTTAGTCAGAAATACTGCCAGATATTAATAATTCAGAACAAAACTATTAACTTGAAAAAAAGGAATGGTTCCTAACACTTGATCATAAGCTTCAATAGGCCTTTATAAGCCTATTAGTAATATATATTCTGTCATACAGTTAAGTGTGGTTGAGGAATAACATTAATAAACTACCATTTCTTTGCAATAGAGTTGTTTTTGTCATCATTCGGAAAATACATGCATGACCAATTAAGTGCTAGCCCTCAAATCTGGAAAATTGAAAGAGAAGGGAAAATACCCATTTTTAATACAAATATATTGAAATATGATACAGAATTTCATAAGGAAATTTTATTTTATTTTTATTTTTTTAATTTTTTAATGTTTATTTTTGAGAGAGGGAGAGGGAGAGGGAGCATGAGCAGGGGAGGGGCAGAGAGGGGAGACACAGAATCCGAAGCTCCAGGCTCTGAGCTGTCAGCACAGAGCCCGACGTGGGGCTCAAACCCATGACACATGAGATCATGACCTGAGCTGAAGTCAGACGCTCAACTGACTGAGCCACCCAGGCACCCCCATAAGGAAATTTTAAATAAAGAATCAAAGTATGAGTTTAATTATAAATAACAGTGTAGAGTAGGAGCCTCAAACCAAAGTTACTGTTGGGATTAAGCAAATAATAAAACATGAATGAATTGGACTGGATATAGGAAAACAAGTGTGTTGGAACAGAGGCCAAACCAAAGAGTGCACGTCTCACGTAAATATTCAAATTTTAAAGAACTTTTCTGGCCAGCAACATTTTTGTGAGCTATATTGATTTCTTTTGAATTTGCAGCCTCCCAGGGAACTGTGGTGTGTTATGCATATTCTTTATCATTTGGACATGAAAATAAGACGTGAGCATAGCGGTCTCATTAAAAAGAGCAAAAACCCCGGGGCCCCTGGGTGGCTCAGTCAGTTAAGCATCCGACTTCACTCCAGGTCATGATCTTGAGGTTCACGAGGTGCAGCCCTGCGTCAGGCTCTGTGCTGACAGCTCGGAGCCTGGAGCCTGCTTCGGATTCTGTGTCTCCCTCTCTCTCTGCCCCTCCTCTGCTCATGCTTTGTCTCTCTCCCTCTCTCTCTCTCTCTCTCTCTCAAAAATAAACATTAAAAAAAAAAAAAAAAGAACAAAAACCCCGTGCGAAATTTTTCTAGTTTTTAATTGAAACTGATGTATACTGTGCTGTATTACTATTAAATATATTCATCAAACTGTGTTAGTTTGCTGTATGTGTTCCAGTGGTATATACTTTTTAAAGATTCAGAATCTAGCATAATACCTCTTCTTAGGTAGCTAGCTTTTTGGGGGCACTAAAATGGCCTTATTTCTGAGCTCTTATTTTTATTTTGTCTCTGGTTTAATTACCGGTCCTGAGTATACTGAGTTTTGGGGATTTTGAACATAAAAGTCTATCATGTGCTATTATTCTTCTGAAGAATGGGTATGTAAATGCAGAAGCTAACCACCACTCCAGGCTGTATTGAAGAACCGGATATTTTCCCAGGTCTTTGGTAACTTTCAGGACCTCCTGTTTTCTGAATTAAATGGTGATTTTATTTATTTACTCATTCATTTTATAAAATTTTTTTTTAACGTTTATGTATTTTTGAGAGAGAGACAGAGTGCGAGTCGGGGAGAGCAGAGAGAGAGCGAGAGGGAGACACAGAATCTGAAGCAGGCTCCAGCCTCTGAGCTGTCAGCACAGAGCCCAACGCGGGGCTCGAACTCACGAACTGTGACATCATGACCTGAACCAAAGTCAAATGCTTAACTGACTAAGCCACCCAGGCGCCCCTTCATTCATTCATTTCAAAGTTTCTTTTGAGAGCATGTGCGCACACCCAGGTGGGGAGGGGCAGAGAGAAGAGACAGAATCCCAAGCGAGCTCTGCACCATCAGCACAGTGCCCTATGTGGGGCTTGAACTCATAAATGGTGAGATCTTTACCTGAGCCAAGATCAAGAGCTGGACCCTTAACTGACTGCGCCACCCAGGCGCCTCTGATTTTATTTTTTGTGCTAATAAACTT